CTTCATTGGCTGGGCACGGCTCTCAAAGTCTATCAGGAGGTGGCAGTTTGCTGGCATGCTGCCTCTGCGGTTGGTAGTCACCAGGGGGCAGTGTTGCATTGAGAGTAAAGGCATGGATGAGCTTGTGTCAAAATGTGCCTCTTACCTCTTCTTAATTTAGAACGACTTGACCTCTCTGGGCCTTAGTTTTCTCATCTGAAAAAATGGGATAATAATACCAACCTTATCAAAGTGTTGTGCAATTCATTGAGTAAATGAGCATAGGATGTCGAGAACCTGGGCTGGCAGAGTGGAAAGTGCCCAGATAAGTGCTTTGGTTATATTTTCTGGGTCTCCAGTATGCCCGCTGTGATGTTTTTGTGAATTTTCTAAATTCCTTTTTACTCTTGGCATTTTTTTCTCTGCAGTATTAGAGGTTGCATTATATAAGTTTGTCACTTCCTAATCAAGCAGTATGCATTAAGACGGCCTCCTTCTGACTTTGAGGGGCCACTATGGCATGGCATCCTGGGACTTGAAGAACTAATCTGCATACCTTCTTTCTAGCTCTTCATAATTTTGAAGAGATACCTGTTCTCTTTGTTGTTTCTCCTCTAAGTCTTCACCTTTCCAGGGTGGAAAATGCGTGCTTCCTTTAGTTTCCTAGAGTAATACGAGTCAACCATTAACCGCAGAGTTTGGAGAGGAGTGGGAGGGAAGAATTGGGGGGCAGGGGATGTGTCCCTCTGCTGAGCTCTTGATTCCAGCTCTTTACCTTGGCCTAACATCTGGAGATTCCAAATGGTTCTGCAGAGCATGTACTGTCCGTGGTCACGGCCTCTGGGCAGAGTGGGCCCTTGAGCACTCCCCCTGCCTACAAGTGAATGCTGGCAGCTGAGCAGGGGGAAAGAATGCTGTAGCTGCTGGAGGTGAACATGTACCACCGACCCTACCTGCTCACAGGGGCCTCTCAACTTGGAGGTGTCCTGAGTCAGCTTCCCAAAGAAGCAGACTTGTGGAGCCAGAGTGACTTGGGCCCCAGCTACAAGGACAGTTGATTTTAAGATGGGTGACATCTAAGCCAGGTGCAGTAATCCCAGCACTTTGGGAGGCCAAGGCGGGAGGATCACTTGAGGTCAGGAGTTCAAGACCAGCCTGGCCAACGTGGTGAAACCCCATCTCTACTAAAATTACAAAAATTAGCTTGGGTGTGGTGGCGTTTGCCAGTAGTCCCAGCTACTGGTAGGCTGAGGTAGGAAGGATCACCTGAACTTGGGAGGTGGAGGTTGCAGTGAGCGGAGATAGCACCATTACACTCCAACCTAGGCGACAGAATGCGACTCCATCTCAAAAATAAATAAAAAATAAAGAAATGATGGGGGACATCTATTATATCCTTTTTTAGGCCTTCCTCTGCTTTTCTTCCTTTCAGGCCAACCAGGATCTCCCAACCCGAAGACAGCAGGCAGCCCAATAATGTGATCAGACAGCCTTTGGGTCCTGATGGGTCACAAGGCTTCAAACAGCGCAGATAAATGCAGGCAAGAAAAGATGCCGCCGTTGCTGCCGTCACCGCCTCCTGGGTCGTCTGCCACGGGTTGCACTGCCGTGGCAGACAGCTGGACTTGAGCAGAGGGAACGACCTGACTTACTTGCACTGTGATCCCCCTTGCTCCGCCCACTGTGACCTTGAACCCCATGCACTGTGACCTCCCCCCTTCTCCCCCTTCCCACTGTGATTGGCTCATCGACAAGGGCTGTCCCAAGTCAATGGAAAGGGAAAGGGTGGGGGTTAGGGGAAGGTTGGGAGGACCCACCAAGGACTCAGAGAGTCAGACAGTGCCACTTGGCCACTTGGGGTAAAGCCAGTGCCAGCAATAACAGTTTATCATGCTCATTAATTTGGGATTTCAAAACACAAATGAAAACTCACACCCACCCACCCCCAAGTGCATGTCTCCATCACTTAAAAAGTAAGTTCCATTTGAAAATATCCTTTCTTTTTTTTTTTTCTTCCTATTTTTGTTTGTTTATACAAATATCTGATTTGCAAGAAAAAGTGCATGGGAGGGGTTTTAGTGGTTTAACGAATTTTTAATTAAGAAAGGGTAGTTTGGTAGTCTACTTAAAAATGTTTCTGGGAAATTCACTAGAAACATTAACCAATAGGATTTTGGTGAGCTTAGCTTCTGTATTCCTACTGCCGCCCGGAAAAGGGGCAGGGCTCTGCAGCCGCCAGGACAGATGAGCACCCCATGCCTATACCTCCCTCCCCGAGCTGAGTCCCAGGGCATCTGGGCCTTGCCTGGAGACTGGGCTAGCTCTGTAGGCTCGGAGAGCCTGGGGAGGGTGCCAACCCCACCTCTAGTATTTTGGGAGATAGGGAAAGTGAACAGACTTCCCCTTCCCATACCCCTCAGGGTGGTTCCCTACCAGCCAGGCTTACTACTAGAAGAGAGCAGAGCGCCAGGGAGTGAGACTGCATCCCTGGGCTTGGAAGTGAAGGAGAGGAGACTTGTTTAGTATTTTGCCATCGGCACAAGGAAAACCAGGAGAGAGTCTGCCTCCAGGACTCTGAGCCTTCTGCTTCGTATGTTCAGAAGGTGGATAGGTCTTCCCACTCCAGCATGGCTTGAACTCTTAGGGGTCTGCAGTGCTCCATCTCCATTGATGGCCCCAGCTCAGTAACTATACCTGGTACATTTCCTGTGTGCAATCAGTACCTTGAAGGCAGAACATTCTGAATAAAGTTGGAAAAAGAACAGCTTTGCTTTGCAAAGATTGATGACAGACTGGTTCCTCAGAGGCCTAGGTTCCCATCACCCCTTTTTCCAGAGCGAGGGCCTGGAATGAAGGCAGTTTATCCTCTGTCCCTAGAGCCTGGGGTTTGCTTTGGCTCCTTGAGGTGGAAGAGACTAAGAGGGCAGCTGCCCAGAGCGGCTCTGTGTGTACCTGGTTCCTCTCAGGCTTCCTGATCCCTTCCATTGCACTGCGCCTTATCCCTCAGCCAGCCAGACGGCCTCCTTGCTCCTGACCAGCAGATACGTTTCGGGGTGGTTGGTGTGGTTTTGCGATGAGGGCAGCACGTGGTGGCCAAGGTGGCAAGCTGAGTCTCACAGGCTCACTCCACCGCTGGTTGCCTGTGGGAATGGTGGGCCAGGCCCAGCAAGCCATGCCCCACCACGTCCTCCCCTCTGGAGGAAGCGCCAGCTGCCAGCCAAGTCAGCAGCTAGTCCACAGCACAGCCTTATAACCGTAAAGCCAGGCATTGCCCATGAGCAGAGCTGGAAGCAGAGCTTCAGTCAGTGAGAGGGAGGATTACCTTCAGGAGAAGGCAAGGAAGAAAATTGGCTGCTATCTTTATAGTTCCACTGCCCTAACCAAGTGTCCACATTCTAAATGTATAGTGTCCATCCCTCATGTAATAGTGGTTTCCCACCCAAAGTGAGACTTTCCTTTTAATTGGAGAAGGGTATAGAGGTAGTCCAGGTGGGAAGGCCAGAAGTGCTGGTTGCCCAGCCATTGGGACCACCTGTTCTTGCCCCACTACCCTCTAGTAGGGGCCAAAGTAAAGGCTGGTTGGTGGGTGTCTGGGTTGAGGATGTGGCAGGGACTGGTCCTCCCACCTCCCTCTGGCCAAAGATGGGCTTTGCCCGCTGTGTGCCTGTCACCACCCACCAGCAGTCATGCCCTGGGCTTCCCAAATGGAGAGGTAGCAGGCAACGTTTTTAAAAAGAAAGAAAACAGGAAACTGTATTGTGTTAGAGGGAGGCGGGAGGGGAGATGAGGAAACGGTTTGGATTTTGTGTGTGGGAGGGTATTTTTTTGGGGGTAGTTGTCTGTAACTTTCCTAAGTGCTTTTTTTCCTTTTCTTTTTTAAAGTAAGTTGCAGGCTTTGGCTTGGAAAACCCCAGGGGGATGGGGGGCAGAAACCTGAGGCTGCTGCCCCTTTATCTGCCTTCACAGTACTGTCCCCTTCCCCCAGCTCCTCCCTGACCCCATGGGCCAGGCCTCAGACCTTCCAGCTAACCGCTTCCCATGAGCCACTACTCTGATGTCAGCCTATAACCAAAGGAGCTGGGGGGTCCAGGCCTGGTGACCAACCTTTCTCAGCCCACTCAATCAGGGTGCTCCCCACCTGCAGGCAGGAGGCAACACCCTATCTGCTACCATCAGCCCCTTCCAGAGCCCATCTGCCCCGCCCAGCCCTGCCCTGCCAGCCCAGCCATACCCTGCTCTGCCCTATCTTGGGGGTGCCCTGCTCAGGGATGGGCTGGCAGGGCTGCACCCAGCCTCCCTGGTAAGCAGAGACTCAAGAAACCTCTGGGGTCCTGTTTTCTGGTTGTGTGATCCCAGGGGTGCACATGGGCCCCTTGGGTGTCTGAACAGAAGGGTATGGGAGGGAGGGCCGCACCCCTGCAGTCTTACTCTGCTGGTGTAGCGGGCAGCTGCCCACTCCCACCCCGTTGGCAGATTAAGCATTTTATAAATTGTATTTTAAATACATGTTTTAAACTTGTCAGATCTTTGTCCTCATTTCAGTCCCCGCCCTCTACCTCTTGCTGTGGCCGCTTATTTAACCCTGGGGGGTTTCCCTCTGCCCAGTTGCAGGGAAAGACTGTCTTTGGTAAAATACTAGGCTGGGTGGTATGTGGGGTGAGGGGAAAGGACCCACCCCTTAGGGCTCCCAGAGAAGTAGAGCTCTGGGTCCTGGGGCTCTGTCGGGGGACCATGGCAGAGGCCACCTCCTGCTCTTACACAGGGCCTATCTTGGAGCCAGTGGAAAGAGAGAACGGCTGCTTTTGTGGGGCTCCCAGTCCAGAGGGGGAAGCGCTCTTCTGAGGAGGGGCCTAGCCCGGTGCTTTGAGAAGGCACAGAAGGTCAAGACTTTGCATGCAGGGGCACCTGTAGCAGAAACCCCAACCCTGGGCAGGGCTTCAAGGTAGAACCCTACACTCTGAGAGCCCAGGGGTGGCTGGGGTGACAGCTTGAGGACCTTCCTTGGCAAGAGGCACAGGGGCTGAAGTTATTGGTATTTATTAGCTTACCAGGCCACAAAAGCAAATTCCAGCAGCAGCTCCTGTCTGGTGGCCCATCTGTCTGCAGGCCTTGAGCAACTGTCCAGAGTCAGGCCTCCAGAGGGTCAGTGGGTTCGAGAAGGCACAGAGCTGGGCCACTTTCTGCTGTCAGAGTTGTGTTCCCTGGGGAGGGCAATGGGGCAGAAGGGTGGGAAACATTTGGCCCTTTCCCTGTCTGCCAGTACGTGAACCATCCGTGCATGCCCAAGTGAGGAGAGAGAGGCGGCCTCCCCTCAGAAATGGTGGACCCAGCAGTCGGGCTTAGGGCTTAGGGGCCTGATTCCAAGTCCAGGGCACCCTTCCCCAGCGGCCTGGAGGGGGACTGCTGCAGGAGGCGCTCCCCTCTGCCCAGGTGCACAGTCCGCTAGTCCTAATGTTGAACCATAGGGAACTCGTAGCCCTCAGTTAGGTGCCACTGAGTCTCGGACACAGGAGAGCAGCAGCACTCTGGCTTCAGTGGAACAATCTACCGGGTACACATGCCCTCAACAAAGGTTTTTTTTCTTTGCCTTTCACCCTTTCTCCTCCCTGGAATAAGCAGCCTCTCAGGTATGGTCTCTTAGAAAGATGGATTCCCAGGCATTAGGCCAGGGGCCTCTTAAGGAAGGATCTGGAAGGGCCTAGGCTGGGGCCCTTTCTCTGGGCACCCACCTGTTTCCTTGAGATCGTGACTGGAAGAAGGGGCTACGGATGTCAGGAGCCAGGCCAGGGGTTGTGCACTGGTCTTGCACGTAGTGGTTGGTTGGCTTCCTGCGGACCATCTTCTTGTCCATCCGTGGGCAGAGCGGGATGCAGGGCACCTGGGCATAGGGGCTCTGCAGGTTGGGAGCTGGTGAAGAAGGAGGCAGAAGGGGGAATGCTTCAGAGCACGCCCAGCCTTGGGAAGCAGGCAGATTGAGGTGAAATCCTGGCTTTGCTACATAATGGACTAGGCACTTTGGGGCAAGTCACTTAACCTCTCTGAGCTTCTGAGCTGGAGGTGATAGTGGTACACACCTCACAAGAGTTGATGATGAAGATTAAAGGAGAAATATAGGCAAAGCACTCAGCTCTGTACTGCACACAGAATAAGAGCTGGTAACAGCTTAACAAGGAGCAGAGGTCTTTGTGACGGGTGCTGGCAAAGTCTAGTAGGCATACTCTAGAAAGACTGCAAAGCTCCTATCCTGTTACTTGGCGCACAGTAGGAGTCTAATAAATGGTCCCTGGGGAAGGAGGCAGGCTTGCCCAGTGGAAAGAGCATAGGTTTTGGGGTCACACCTGGATATAAACACCCCTTTCCAAAACACACTAGCTAGGGGCATTGGGCAAGTTGCTTAACTTAATCAGTTTCTTTTTTTTTTTTTTTTTTTTTTGAGATGGAGTTTTGCTCTTGTTGCCCAGGCTTGAGTGCAATGGCATGATCTCAGCTCACTGCAACCTCCGTCTCCCAGGTTCAAGCGATTCTCCAGCCTCAGCCTCCAGAGCAGCTGGGATTACAGGTGCTTGCCACCACACCCGGCTAGTTTTTTAGAGATGGGGTTTCACCATGTTGACCAGGCTGGTCTCGAACTTCTGACCTCAGGTGCCCACCTCAGCCTCCCAAAGTGCTGGGATTACAGGCGTGAACCACCATGCCCGGGTCAGTTTCATTTTTCTAATCTGTAAAATGGGGTGAATACATGATTATGAGTATTAAATTCCAGAGCATCTGCAAAGAGCCTAGCTCAGTGGGCACTCAGTAAACAGCTGGGATTGCCAGTCTCTACAGCTGTTCTTTCTCGGTCCTGGCTCATGGGACCAACCTGTGCTCAGGCTAAGGCAGGAGGGGAGGAGTCCAATGCAGGAGGCCATTTTCATAGGCCTAGAAGGAAAATAGTGATTATCAGCCGTTTTCCGATGTACACAGTTAAGCCCAAAGTGGGAAACTGGCCTCTCAGCTCCCTGGGCCTGGCTGCCTGAGGGCCCAAGGAGAGGAAGCCAGATGGGCAAGAGAGCAGAGCCCCAACCCTGGCCCATCCCACCCTGCCCAGGGGCCTTACCATAGTTCTGCTGCTTCAGCCGGCTGAGGATACTGAGGACCTTTCGTTCTGGGACTTCTGAGCTCTCTTCTTGCTGGGGGTTATAGGGAAGCTGCTTCTGCAACCGCAGCCGGCCTATGGCCGCTTCCATCTCCTGGGCCTTGCAGGTGCCTGCCTTCAGCTTTTTCTGGTAGTAGCTGGGGAGGCAGTGCCCACCCATCTCAGCCTGGCTGTGTTTAATTCACCCTTCTCCTCCTTAGCCCCTGTCTCTCTGGCCTGCTCTGGAGCAGGAACACAAGCCCAAGAGTCAGGAAACCTGGATTCTAGTCCCAGCTCAGTCCTTAGCTTTCTGTGACCATGAGCAAGTCACTGCCCTGCTCTGGGCCTTAGTTGCCCTGTGTAAAATGGAGGAAAGAGGTTCTCTCTACCCTGTCAATGCAAGTGACTTGACTTCTCTGAGCTTCGAGTTTCCATTGGGTAAAACAGATAAAACAGTTCACATGCCTTAGGATTAAATAACAAGGATGAATTAACACAGCCTCAAGCACGCAGCATGGTGTCTGGCTCACGGAAAATGCTTTGTACATGTTACCTATTATTTTGGGGAGGGGCGTGGCGGGGAGACAAGAGTCTCACTCTGTTGCCCAGGCAGGAGTACAGTGGCGTGAACATGACCTCACTACAGCCTTGAACTCCTGGGCTCAACTGACCCTCCTGCCCTAGCCTCTTGAGTAGTTGGGACCATAGGCACCAACCACCACGCCCAGCTAATTTTTTTATTTTGTGTAGAGATGTGGTCTCGCTGTGTTGCCCTGGCTGGTCACAAACTCCTTGCTTCAAACTATCCTTCCACTTTGGCCTCCCAAAGTGTTGGGATTACAGGCATGAGCCACTGCATTACCTATGATTACCTAATGATTTTATCACTGATACATTTACTTAGATGTGCAAGTACTTAGCTGTGCAATTAACTCCTGCTCATCTTCCATATTTCAGGTTAGGGACTCTCTGCTCCAGAAAGTCTTCTCTGTCCTATCCCCACTCCTACCCTACAGAGTAACTAGGCTCCTGCTGGAGGCCCCCTGCAACCTGTAGTTACCCAATTATATACCCCCTGCAACCCGCTTGATTTTCTTAACTCACTGCTTGCCTTTTCCCCCACTAGACTGCGAGATCATTCATTCAGTAAGTATTCACTGAGTGTTCACTGTGTCCTGGCCACTCTTCTAAGTGATTGGAAAAGAGTGAAGGAGACATCCACACAGTGTCCCTGTATCATAGCCTCAGCCCCACCTCTTACCCCAGCCATCTACTAACACCTTGGGCCAAGGGTGCTGCAGTGGCTCCTTTCACACAGGCTTCAACTAACTTTGCACAGGGACGACCCTACGGGTCCCACCTCAGACGTGAGCCTCTTGCTTCCTGCCCCAGGGATTCTCTGACACAGGGGATTCTCAGAAGTGCAGGGGAGTTAAGCACCTGTGGGGCACCCTTACTAAAGGTGTTAGTAGATGAGCTGTACAGGCTTTTCCCTTTCTTCTCCTGGCAGTTCTGAGCTGCCTTTTTTTTTTTTTTTTTTTGAGATGGGGTTTCGCTTTTGTTGCCCAGGCTGGAGTGCAGTGGTGCAATCTCGGCTCTCAGCAACCTCTGCCTCCTGGGTTCAAGCGATTCTCCTTTTTTTTTTTTTTTTTTTTTTTTTTGAGATGGAGTCTTGCTGTGTCGCCCGGGCTGGAGTGCAGTGGCCGGATCTCAGCTCACTGCAAGCTCCGCCTCCTGGGTTTACGCCATTCTCCTGCCTCAGCCTCCCGAGTAGCTGGGACTACAGGCGCCCGCCACCTCGCCCGGCTAGTTTTTTGTATTTTTAGTAGAGACGGGGTTTCACCGTGTTAGCCAGGATGGTCTCGATCTCCTGACCTCGTGATCCGCCCGTCTGGGCCTCCCAAAGTGCTGGGATTACAGGCTTGAGCCACCGCGCCCGGCCTCAAGCGATTCTCCTGCTTCAAATTCCCAAGTAGCGGCCGGGCGCGGTGGCTCACGCCTGTAATCCCAGCACTTTGGGAGGCTGAGACGGGCGGATCACGAGGTCAGGAGATCGAGACCATCCTGGCTAACACAGTGAAACTCCGTCTCTACTAAAAAAATACAAAAAACTAGCCGGGCGAGGTGGCGGGCGCCTATAGTCCCAGCTACTCAGGAGGCTGAGGCAGGAGAATGGCGTAAACCCGGGAGGCGGAGCTTGCAGTGAGCTGAGATCCGGCCACTGCACTCCAGCCTGGGCGACAGAGCAAGACTCCGTCTCAAAAAAAAAAAAAAAAAAAAACCAATTCCCAAGTAGCTGGAATTACAGGCATCCGCCACCACATCCAGCTAATTTTTTGTATTTTTAGTAGAGACTGGGGTTTCATCAGGTTGACCAGGCTGGTCTTTTCTTTTGAGACGGAGTCTCGCCCTGTCGTCTGGGCTGGAGTGCAATGGCGCAATCTCAGCTCACTGCAACCTCCGCCTCCTGGGTTCAAGCGATTCTCCTGCCCCAGCCTCCCGAGTAGCTGGGATTACATGCCCAGCTAATTTTTTGTATCTTTAGTTTAGACAGGGTTTCACCATGTTGGCCCAGGCTGGTCTCAAACTCCTGACCTTGTGATCCACCTGCCTTGGCCTCCCAAAGTGCTGGGATTACAGATGTGAGTCACCACACCCAGCCCTGAGCTGCCATTCTTAGTCTCCTCAGAAGATTCTAGGAGGTGCTTGACTCAGTAACACATCCTTGAATTGGCTCCTCCTTCTTTGCGGCACCCCTTCCCTTATTCCTGCCTCCTGGGATCGTTTCCCACATCAGAGTCAGTGAAGGGGTGGCCAGCCCCTCCACACCTGTGGGTGTTTCTCGTCTGGTGGAACGAGAGACTTGAGAAAAGAAAGAGACACAGAGACAAAGTATAGAGAAAGAAAAGTGGGCCCAGGGGACCAGTGCTCATACAGAGACCCATGCCGGCACTATTCTCTGAGTTCCCTCAGTATATATTGATCATTATCTCTACCATCTCGGAGAGGGGGATGTGGCAGGACAATACGGTAATAGTGGGAGAGAGTCAGCAGGAAAACGTGAACAAAGGTCTGTGTCATAATTAAGTTTAAGAAAAGGTTCTGTGCTTTGATGTGCACATACACAGACACAGCAGTGGTGGATTAAAGAGCAGTATTGCCGCTAGCACGTGTCACCTCCAGCCCTAAGGCGGTTTTCTCCTATCTCAGTAAATAGAACATACAATCGGTTTTACACCAAGACATTCTATTCCCAGGGACAAGCAGGAGACAGATGACTTCATCTTATCTCAGCTGCAAAGAGGCCTTTCTCTTTCACTAATCCTCCTCAGCACAGACCAGTCAGGTCTTTCCCTTCCCACAAGGCCATGTCTCAGGCTATCGCATGGGGAGAAACCTTGATCAATACCTGGCTTTCCTAGGCAGAGGTCCCTGTGACCTTCCGCAGTGTATTGTGTCCCTGGGTACTTGAGATTAGAGAATGGTGATGACTTTTAACAAGCATACTGCCTTCAAGCACTTTTTTAAACAAAGCACATCCTGCACAGCCCTAAATCCATTAAACCTTGAGTCAACACAGTACATGTCTCTGCAAGCACAGGGTTGGGGCTAGGGTTGCAGATTAACAGCATCTCAAGGCAGAAGAATTTCTCTTAGTACAGAACAAAATGGAGTCTCTTATATCTACTTCTTTCTCCATAGACACAGTAACAATCTGATCTCTCTTTCTTTTCCCCACAGTCAGACCATAAACAAATAAATAAAAATACAGGCCGGGCGGGCGGGTGGCTCAAGCCTGTAATCCCAGCACTTTGGGGAGACCGATAGGGTCGGGATCGGATCTGTAAGGTACCTCTACTATAAGAAATGCCGAGGGGTGAGTCCGTCTGGGGGGGGGAGGGGGGGGGGGGGAGCGAGGGGAGGGCAGACTCAGCCTGGGCACAGAGAAACTAAAAAAAAAAAAAAAAAATACAGCCATGTGGTTCATGCTTGTAACCAGCACTTGGAGACAAGTGGAGACACAAGCCAGTGAGACCAGCTGGCAACATGACCCTATAAGAAATTTTAAAACTAGCCAGGCGTGGTGACATGTGCCTGTAGTCCCAGCTACTCAAGAGGCTGACGCGAGAGGATTGCTTGAGCTGGGAGGTCAAGGCTGCAGCGAGCCGTCATCATGCCACTGCACTGCGGCCTGGGCAACGACAGAGCAAGACCCTGTCTCAAGAAAAATGCCATTTTAGGAGTGCTGGGTGCCCTGAGGAAAAGTAGAAGGGTAGGAGGTAGCGATAAGGGACTATTTTGCTCAAAGTGGTAAGCAAAGGTCTCAGAGGTGACATTTGAACAGGATGGCGGAGGAAACAAACTGAATGGGTATCAGGAGGAAGAGTCTTCAGGCAGAGGAGTGGCCTCTGAAAAGGCTGGGAGGTGTAGGAAAGAGCTTGGGACAGCAAGGAGACTGGAGAGGCTGGGGCCTGATGTGTGAGTGGTGGAGAGGAAGAGATACGGGCAGTGAGATGGCAGGGCCATAGCATCTGGGGCTTTGTAGGCAGTGATGAGGGGTGGGCATGCTACTCAGAGTTTGAGAAGCCTTAGGGCTTAAACTGATGGCTCTGCTAGGGCCTTTGCCTATCTTTGGGGCCTAGGATTTGCGGTTTTAATGGGCCTCATACATAGAAGATAGAACACTAATTCCAGGGCCCTCATGTGGTACAATGTTGGATCTAGATCACTTGTATAAAACTGAAACTCCCAAAAGGCAACACTCTGAGTGAAACAGATGGACTAGAAAATAACTTCACCCCTCAGGAGCCAACAGGACACAGCAGAGTGTGTGCAGCTTTCTCAGTCACAATTTCAGAGGAAATCCCTTGCTCTCTGCTTCCTTTTTTCCCCTTCTTGAGGGCTTGAATTCAGGTGTGTTGCTGATAAGCTGGTTTAGCATTGACTAGGGAATAGTGGAACAATGAATTGGAAACAAACTCGGTGCCTCGGTAACTTTCTCTTCCTGCCTGCTTCCTCTGAACTGTCAGTATAAGAGAGTAAACTCCTATCTTTTTGAACTACAGTGTATTGGGGTCTATTTCTTAACTAAGACACCAGCCTAAAATTCTATACCCAGCTAAACTGTCCAGTAAGTATGAGGATAGAATAAACACAT